TTTGTCTCAGGTTTGGCTCGACTTTGCTTAATTGTCTCAGGCTTGTAAGCTTTCATGATACCTGGAATTCTTTTTCCATCCAACTACAGTATTTTCGGAAAGTATTCGTGCACTAATAATTTTTCGTTTCGTGCAATAAAAATAAATAAATTGTGCGGACTTGGAAAACAATTTCGAGCAAAAAAATTAAAGTCATGGTGCAAAAGTAGAAAAAAGTTGGATCAAAAAATTCATGCATGGTGCACGAAATTAATGTTTATTAGATTGGCTTTCTGTTCAAACAATCATCAAACATAGACATAGAATGTCTACAGAACCCCTTCAAGTCGCTCAAAAGGACTTTGTTACAGGCGTCTGTTATTCTGGAGGTGAGTGTTTCCTCTTTCAAAAGTTTCTCTCTTTTGACCTTGCTCTTGCAAACAGCCCAAAATTCTTCAATAGGATTAAGGGTTGGTGAATATGGAGGAAGGTAGACGCAGCCATATCCTCTGCTTTCTATATACTTTCTTATGTCTTGGTGCGTATGGATAGGCGCATTATCCATGACTATATAGCTATCCTTGAAGATCTCGTGACGATCCAAAATATCCAAGGTATTAGCAATAAAGTTAAAGTAATGGCCAGTCACTGTTCCTCCTTTGTCCTTGTTTGCGACAGCTGAGTTTTTTCCTGTCAACTTTCTTTTCTTTGCGGGCTCCGCTACCTTGGGCTGTTTGATCTTGATATTGACAACACCGTGAGCAGATATAGCACCAAGAATAGTCGTGGTCTTTGCCCTTGTCTTGGGGACTGTGACAATGGCCGGATCACCTTTTTTAGACCAACCATAAGAGCGCTTCAAGTTGATATGGAATGCAGATTCATCAATAAAAACGCAGTTGCTCATATAATCCATGTCAGTCTCTTCCCAGTGTTTCACCCATTGATATCTAGCTTCAATTTTCTCAGGAGAATTTCGCTCAACTGAATAAAGCTTTGCTCGCTTGAAGCTGAGATTGCACTTTGTAGTGACAAACTCATACAAAGCAGTCTTTGAAATCTTCAGATCCTCAAAGCTACTCGTAAGACACTCCATCATCTCTTCCAAGACCATTTCAGGCCTTTCATCAATAGCTTCAATCAGACACTCCTTATGAGCATCATTGAGGATTGCAGGTCTTCCAAGCTTCCGCTTACCATCTACAGTCCTTTCCATAGCGACCTCACTGTCCTTTTCCAAGCTCGCCTCTCCTTGCTTGAACCATGTTTGTGCTGTCGTTGGTGGTATACCAAGCTGTTTAGCAGCACCTCGGACACTCATATTCTTTTCATACACTAAGTGAAAGAAGTTACTCTTGTCCTCAGGTTTGTACTTCCGATAGGTCTTCTTAGAAATCCCACCAACATCTCCCGCAATAGGGTTTGTGGTGTTGCTTTCAGTCTTCATAACAACATCTTTGGCTGCTTTTTCAGGAGGCTTGAGATCAGTGTACATTGCGAAATCTGTAACATCTCCTAAGGGGTAAGCTTCGTCATCCACTTCCATTGCAAACTCAAGATGCTCTTCTTCATTCTCATTTGTTAGGTTTCCGTTTCCATCTTCATAAACAAAGTTACTCATTTTCAACTACGTAGAATATAAAATTGCACTAAATAAAAACTATTTCTGACCCAACTTTTTTCTACTTTTGCACCATGACTTTAATTTTTTTGCTCGAAATTGTTTTCCAAGTCCGCACAATTTATTTATTTTTATTGCACGAAACGAAAAATTATTAGTGCACGAATACTTTCCGAAAATACTGTATGCCTCCCATTCACTGTCTTCATTAGAGAATACAGGTACAGCAAATGAGCTTATAGAATCGTAAAGCACTAAAAAAAGATGAACAAGAAAAGATAAAGATATAGAGAAACGTGGAAAAAACAAAGATTACTACAACTGTTCTGACCAGTAAAAGACCAGCATCATTTTCTTGACATGCTTGAGTGATAAGCGGCTTCTTTGCTCCGTGATTAGCTGGCTCCATTTATTTAAAACACTCACACAACTCACACTCATACAAGGCACAGCCAGATAATCTTTTACGACTTTACTTAAATTGTAAAATTGTGGCCGAGGAAGCGACTGCAACTTCCAGAATCTAGGCTCTGCTTTTCATTTACTTTTTCTAAGCCCATCAACGTATTCTTTTAACTCATCAGGAGCGTTGACCGTCTCAATATTCTCCAGCTTCCAACCTACACTCAAGAAAATTGCGTCGACGTTCTCATTGCGATGTAAGCCTTCTTGTTGCCTTTCTCTTGTGGATTTATCACCGATAATTGACTTGAAAGTATCATCTCACACCTTTCTAACTGTCTTTCTGCTCTTGCATCATATTCTTCCCAACCAGCTGTAGTCCGAAATCCAAACCTCAATGCGGGGTTCAAAGCGGTACGTATGTCTTAAACGGGAGATTTATTGATTCTTGAGTAATAGCCTCGTAACCTGTAAAAGGTCAATAAGCACCCCTTCCACTATGGCGGACTAGTTGTTTGACTTTACTAATATTGTTCGCAAAACAAACAAGAAAAAGTAACTTTTTTGCCAATGTTGCTCGAAATGTCAACAACTTTAATTTTATTTCTCTAAAAAGCGAGTCATATCATTCAAAATCATTGATTTTCTTGTTTATGGGGAACAAACTTGTTCGTTTTGTCAACAATAAAAGTTATGAGGCGACAAGTACTGCGACAATCATAGTAGCTTTATGAGCAAGAAGAATTCTTTGTTTTTTTTTTACAAGTACAATAATACTAGTAATGTTTCTTATTAAAAACAAAGAAAAAGGTTTGCACAATGCAATACGTTGATGCACTCCTAAGAGTTTGACATGAGACTCATCTAAAAAGAGTATATTGAGTTATGTTGAATATTTAGTAATTGTTTAGGTTTTTTTTAACAAAAAATAGCTTTTTGGTTTTTCTTGCAATTGTCTTTCTGTCTTACAGATATGAACCAAACGACTATTTACAAAATCACTCAAATGCAACTACAAGTTTCCCAACTCGAACAAAAAATCGAATCATAGACTCAAATACTCGAGGGATTGATGCATTTATTAGCACCCTCTTTTGCCCAAAGTGATAATAATGAGATCAACAGTGAAGTTCTTGAAGCAGCTCAATAAGGTAAAAAACAAGCTATTTCTCTAAGATATGTATAAACTTTTATTTCTTCCTAAAAAATGCAGCAAGAGAAGGCGGTATTGTCAATTCTCTTAATCTAAACTTGATAGGCTTCCGAGACATTCCTAGAGTACCTGAGGAAGCAACAAAAGCATTTGGCTCTCATCGAAAACATAGATATGATACGCCACGGTTGCGTTTGCTTGCCCTGATCAACTTACTCAAGAAAGAAAGAAATATGACTGATCTCTTAATTGATGATAAAGTGAATGAGAATGACTACGGGATCCTCAGAACAATCGCAAAAAATACCCACGATGAAATGGAGTTAGAGCTGCTGAAAGCTTTGAAGAAGAATGACAAAGTAGCTGTGTTGCCTTTATGGTCTGAAGTGCCTTCTGCTCTAATCGCAAAATACACATTTAAGCTTGAAAGCAATGCAGCTACTCATGGCGTTCCTCTTCAAAGATGTCAGCATTCCTGGGCAGCCGGTCTATTGCTCTTCGAAACACAAAAGCACAGAAGTAATAGAGCAAGAAATAAGGCTTCTGTTGTTGAAAGAGAGAATAACTCTAGGATCAGGTATAATAAACGCAAAACATGCATTCAATGAAACTTTAAAATGCCTAACAAGAATCAAAACTATACAGTAAAAAACAAGTTAGTGTTGAATCTCTTCAAAGTGAAAAGCCGTCTTTGGAGTACGCAAACCTATATTGTGGTGATAAATTTGAGGATTCTGAAGATGACATTTTTTCGGAATGGAAAACAACTGTCGTCCTTGTTCTCCTTCTCCACCTCTTCCCTCTTCTCAACCTAAGGAAAGGGGCAAACGCAATGAAGACAAAAGCCAACCAGCTAAGTCTAAGTGTACAGGAAGTAACAAAAAATAGTCATGACCTTAAATAATAAAACAATTTTTTTTCCATCACCTTCTCTTGAAACGTTTATATTATAGATAAAGTCCACAGCTCCTAAATTCAACCTACATCCAGAAGCTTAAACTCTCTGAAACCTTATGATTGCATAACATCGACTCATGGGCTTACTCATCTTAAGAATTAGACAGTACTTCCAGCGCTTTTTTAACAATCTGAAGAATTGCTGCGCTCCTCTTTGATTGGTATGGAAGAACGCATTTTCCGCAGTAGTTTCTTTTTCTCTAACATAACCATAGACAAAAATTGATATACTACTGGGCCTTTATATAGATAAAAAACAAAAGTCGAAACCAGAGTTAGAGTGTAAGTAAACATATAAGAGCTACTTGTTTCTTTTTGTTCCAAGTTTTGACATGGAATGTCACATCGCCTGGTCCCGGTACTGGTGAGTGTTGTTTTGGAAAAGAGTTTTGACATTGCCTTGTTCTAATTCAATTAGTTTGTTTGTTCTATATGTTTAGATGAGATTAGTCTGCTTCCATTTAAAATCAAAGCATGTTTAATCTATTTTTGCTACTTGAAAGCTAACATAGCGCCTTTTTTTTTCTAGATTCCAAAACAAGTTCTTGCTGTCTCTTGATTTATAGTAAGTCTGATATGTTATTACACACCTTCAATATACTCAAAACTAACTTTTTTTTTCTCAAAAAAGAATGCCCTTCTAAAGGAATTGACGGGTAATGAGGAAGATAACTGACATATTTATTATCCGTTTGAAACAATACTAAGAAGTTTTTTATCTACCTTAACAAAAATGATTCATTATTTTATTTACAATTGATTTGTTAATGCTATAACATCATCGTTTATTTTTTCAAGTTCTTCTGGAGAGTTTTTTAATTTTTCTATTTCATTTGATATTTTATTTAATTCTAAAAAAGCTTTTTTAGGATTATTTTTTTTTAAAATGTTATTTATTTTACCTACTAGTTTAACATAAACCAATAAATGCTCAAAAAGTTTTTCATAATTATTTATAATTTCTTTTTTAAGTATATCTCTTGAATAATTTAGGTTATTAATATTATTTGGAATATTGTTTGTTTTAACTTTTTCTACCTTTTTATCAGATATATCTTCACATCCCGTTTCATCACTAGAAGTCACTAGTTCGTCAAATTCTGATTCATTTCCATCAATATTATATTCAATTATATCTGTATCATCACAATTATCACATATATCTACTATAGTTATTTCATCAGCAAATTCATTATTGCATTTCACACAATTTCGAACATAATTAACATATATTCTACAATAACTATCCTTTCTATCTACTTCAAAAATACAATTTTTATTTTTGCATTTAAAAAAGTTATTATTTTCCATATATAATTCATTATTATCTTGATTTTTTTTACTATTATTTTTTGAGCAATTACTTTTGTATAAAGTACTTTCATTGGAATGTTCATTAAAACAATTTGATTTTTCAGAATTTATGTTAGTATTAATGTCTAAATTTTGTGATATAATCACTAATAAAATGGTCAAATCAATAAGTCGATTAGAACCAAAACGGCCAAAAGAAGTCTTCTTTATTAAAGGTTATATTTTGTATTGTATTTATACTGTTTGTATGATAATTGATTATCCTTAATTTGGGACTGAGTGTGTATACACTAGCTAATCAGTTGAGTGGATTAAGGTACACAAGAACTGGGAACATGATCAGGGCACAGACCTAGTCTACCATTGGTATTGATGCAGATGTCAATTTGTGATTATGTGATGGTCTAATCTTTAACATGTTTAAACTAAGATAGAAGACATCCATCGAAGCTGCGGATAAAACTGTGATTGAAAGATATATTTATACATGATATTAATACTTGCTCTTTTAAGGCATAACTAGTGTAAGAAGGGATGAATAATGCTGTGTATACAACAAATTTCTTACTTATTTATTTTTTCTTGATACAGAGTTATTTCTTCTTCTTTTAACTTTATACTTAAAGAAATAGGGAATATTATCTTTCATAAATTTTATTTCAAATGACTTTATGTCATTATTGTACACTATATGTAATTTTTCTACATTAAAGCTTTCTATTATTTTGATAATATAACATCTTTTTATATTTTTTAAAAAACAATCCTTTTCTATTAATTCTTCAAAGTTTTCCATTTTGTTAAATGGTTGATGTATCTATTTTCCATATTATTAAAATTCAATTTTATAATTAATCTTTGAGAAATTGTTTACATATATTATATTCTTTATTTTTTTTTCTCCATTGATATTCTTTAAGATGTAATACTATATTTCTTTTATTTCTATTTCTAGGAGGCATACTTTGTTTTAAACCATTCCATGTACCTTCAATGGTATTTGTATGAACATTAGTTTCAGGGTCTTTAAAATACTTCTTATGATTTACAGTTTTATGCTTATATCCAATTTTTTTCAAGTTATTGTAACCTTTTTAACAGCCAGTATATATAGTAGTTCCTTTTTTAACATATTTTTTAATAATCTCATTTATATTCTCAATATTTCGTTCTTCTATAGGTAAAAGAAACATTTTCTTATTTTCATTTTTAATTTTATTTTTTAATCTGCTTCTTTGTATACCACCAATAACCCATACACCTTCTACTTTATGTCCTTTGTTATACTTTCTTTTTGCTATTTTAGACTCATCTATTTCTAGTATCTCATTCCTACCTCCAATCTTTCTATTTTTATTATATATTTGTTTATCTTTCAAATAATTTCTAAATAATCTATTGTATTTCGTAATTGTTTTTCTATCTATTTCTAAACTTGATGATAAAATAGTTGAAGGAGTTTTTTTAAAAAATTCATATAACAAATGTACTTGTATATTTATTGGTAACTTCAATTTACTAAAAATTGTTCCTTTAAATGGCGAAATAGCTTTTCTACATTTATAATTTTTGCATTTAAATAACTTTTCTTTAACATATAATTTCATATCATAATTACATTCTTTACATTTAAAAAAGCCATATACTACATACAAATTATTTTCTGTGTCTATCGGTGTTGTCTCAATTCCGAATGACAAAGCGAATTGCTCATTTAACACTCTTGCCTCGCTTTTATATTTTTGTTTTTATTAGATTCAAGTAGTGCTCCTTTTCTTTTACTATTTCTCAATAAAAGTATCGTTTTTTTCCATTTATAATAAGCGTCTAATTTCTAGTAATCCTAAAACAATAAGTGACATTACGAACAATGTTGGTAACTAAAGCACCAAAAACTTGGTTGTTTTGTAGCCAAAGTTGTTCCAAAAGTAAGCAAGTTATTGCTGCTTTGTTGCTAGTATTGTTCGAAAAGCGAACAATGAATTTAGTTGTTTTGTTACTAAAGTTGTTTGAAAAGCGTACAAATAATTTGGTAACATTTCGAACAACTTTGTACGTCGAGAAATTGATGCCAGCTATTTCTCAAACAACCATTTTGCTGTAGAAATTGGTAATTTTGCGAACAAAAATTGTACATATTGTAACTAACTTTTCTGCCATAGTGCTTCTTAAGATGAGTAAGCCCATGAGTCGATGTTATGCAATCATAAGGTTTCAGAGAGTTTAAGCTTCTGGATGTAGGTTGAATTCAGGAGCTGTGGACTTTATCTATAATACAAACGTTTTAAGAGAAGGTGATGGAAAAAATTGTTTTATTATTTAAGGTCGTGACTATTTTTTGGTACTTCTTCTTGTACGCTTAGACTTGGCTGATTGGCTTTTGTCTTCATTGCGTTTGCCCCTTTTCTTAGGTTGAGAAGAGGGAAGAGGTGGAGAAGGAGAACAAGGACGACAGTTGTTTTCCATTCCGAAAAGATGTCATCTTCAGAATCCTCAAATTTATCACCACAATATAGGTTTGCGTACTCCAAAGACGGCTTTTCACTTTGAAGAGATTCAACACTAACTTGTTTTTTACTGTATAGTTTTGATTCTTGTTAGGCATTTTAAAGTTTCATTGAATGCATGTTTTGCGTTTATTATACCTGATCCTAGAGTTATTCTCTCTTTCAACAACAGAAGCCTTATTTCTTGCTCTATTACTTCTGTGCTTTTGTGTTTCGAAGAGCAATAGACCGGCTGCCCAGGAATGCTGACATCTTTCAAGAGGAACGCCATGAGTAGCTGCATTGCTTTCAAGCTTAAATGTGTATTTTGCGATTAGAGCAGAAGGCACTTCAGACCATAAAGGCAACACAGTTGCTTTGTCATTCTTCTTCAAAGCTTTCAGCAACTCTAACTCCATTACATCGTGGGTATTTTTTGCGATTGCTCTGAGGATCCCGTAGTCATTCTCATTCGCTTTGTCATCAATTAAAAGATCAGTGATATTTCTTTCTTTCTTAAATAAGTTGACCAGGGCAAGCAAACGCAACCGTGGCGTAACATATCTATGTTTTCCGTGAGAGCCAAATGCTTTTGTTGCTTCCTCAAGTACTCTAGGAATGTCTCGGAAGCCTATCAAGTTTGGATTAAGAGATTTGGCAATACCGCCTTCTCTTGCTGCATTTTCCAAAAAAATAAAAGTTTATACATATTTTAGAGAAATAGCTTGTTTTTTACTTTATTGAGCTGCTTCAAGAACTTCACTGTTGATCTCATTATTATCACTTTGAGCAAAAGAAAGTGCTGATAGATGCATCAATCCCTTAAGTATTTAAGTCTGTGATTCGATTTTTTGTTCGAGTTGGGAAACTTGTTCTTGCATTTGAGTGATTTTGTAAATAGTCGTTTGGTTCATATTTGTAAGACAGTGTGATGTTTTGATAATAGAGAGTTATATAATAAGATGATATAGAGACAAAGGTAGATACTTTGAGACTGTTTTATACAATTCTATTGTTGTTCTTTTTGATTATAAATTATTCTAGCATATTTATACATGAAGAGATGTCGGAGTAAGTAGTAGTAGAGTTCATGCAAATGACTGAGTCTCTATTATCATAGACTACTTTAAATTAATTAAATAATGTAAATTATGGATTTCGGTTATAAGTCTTGATCTATTAAAAGATCCATTGTCTTATTCAGTACAAGAGGTTCTTTTATGTCTATTTCTGATGTAAATTGATTATGATGTATTTTAGTATGTAAATGAAGACTTATTTAATGTTCAGATCATCACAGACAGAAAGACAATTGCAAGAAAAACAAAAAAGTTATTTTTGTTAGAAAAACCTAAACAATTATTAAATATTCTACATAACTCAATATACTCTTTTTAGATGAGTCTCATGTCAAACTCTTAGGAGTGCATCAACGTATTGCATTATGCAAACCTTTTGTTTTTTTTTGTCTTTAATAAGAAACATTATTAGTATTATTGTACTTGTAAAAAAAAAATAAAGGATTCTTCTTGCTCATGAAGCTACTATCATTGTCGCAGTACTTGTCGCTTCGTAACTTTTATTGTTGACAAAACGAATAACTTTGTTCATCACAAACAAAAAAATCAATGGTTTTGAATGATATGACTTGCTTCCTAGAGAAATAAAATAAAAGTTGTTGACATTTCGAACAACATTGGCAAAAAAGTTACTTTTTCTTGTTTGTTTTGCGAACAATATTAGTAAAGTCAAACAACCAATTCGCCATAGTGATACAGGAGGGATAAAGCATTGTCATGCTTGTCAAGTTAATATTTTCTTAAGGTTTGTATCCAATAGTACAGGTCAGGTGACGATAGAATATTTTCTAGCCAATGATACTACTGGGAAAACATTCTAGAAGGCAGTGACGTCTGTGTTTTGATAAAGTAAGTCTTAAGATCTTTTATTATTTTTTATATTTTTATATTACCTGTGTTTTGATAAAGTAAGTCTTAAGATAAAGAACTTACATCTATCAACAACACAGTATTTATATCTTTTCTATTCATACTAAAATATGTATTCTAAATCGAATAAAGAAGGAAGTAATTATATACTTCATGTTGATTGATCCTTGCTTCTTGACGAATACGACAACAGCTTGGCTTTCGCTAAAGGCAATTTCCTTATACGTGTTGTGAGATGAAGAGAGAGTAGATATTCAATAAGAGAAAAGGTAAGAACACAGAGAAAGTCCGTTAGAACTTGTATAGGTTTTTATTTCTCCAAGAAATGTTATCTTTCAATTGCTATAAAATGTTGAGGTATTTATACTTTTTCTTCTCGGTCAAACTATTGTTTTGGGTTAGCTTCTTGACTACGGATTTATTTGTTAGATCAGGAGCAATTAAGAGAAATGCCTTTAGAGGAAGTTGTCAGCTCAGCCAATAGTACATGATCTGACCTGAACCTGAATAAACTATTACATATTTGTCAAATGCCAATGCTAATGTATTTGTCAGCTCTAACTATCACTTTATGAGGGCCATTAATAATAACAGAGTCACTAGGTTCATAATCTCTGACTATGAAGATGATGTAGTACTTCTAGTAGAATGAGTGAATGTCAGTGACTATAGATCCATTGCAATTGCCATAGATGTGATCTGGTTTTTTGCCATGATCATCATTTATTGATCTATGCATATGAATTCATATATGTTCACAACAATACGAATCAAGTTCAGCTTTGACTTCTTTCTTCTATTGTTGGTTATCTGAGGTTTAAACCTTTTCTTGTTTGGTTTATACATATGCGGAAGGTTATATTCAACCTCGATTGGCTGTCTTTGTTCAGAAACGCTATTATCCGCGACATCTTTGTCATGCCCGATGATATTGAAGTGCCTGAGTCCTCACGTAACTGGAATAAGAATAAGAAGCGTAAGTTCACTCCTACGATACCAAAGCCTGGAGACAGAAAGAGAAGGAAGATGGCCGGTCCGGACAGGAAATTAGATTTGATTTAAGTATGAAATTAATTCCATTTGAATAAAGACATCTTTTCCACTTCCTAAATACTTCCTATTTAGTGACAGTCCTTTATTATATATCCTCTAAAGTCTTAACTAGAGCTACTACCTGTACTCCTGTTAAACGACATCTTTGTCGTACCCAAACTTAGGTTTAAGCCCAATGTGAAGAAAGCGGCCAGAAGACACCAGCAGGTGCTCGAAGGTTCTGGAAATTATTAGTCAGATGTTTATCTGATTATCATTACCATATCTGGCATTTCCCTTATATGGTTACGACTTCAAATACTAGAAGCTTCCACTTGAGTCACAACTCAGACATTATAGATAGTATAAATATAAGTTGCACTCAATGAAATAAACATCATCTTTCAACACAAATATTAAGTATTAGTTACACTCTATAGTAAGTTTAGCTCTACAACTTATTATACGTATCTCTGGTTATACTTTACAAGTTTCATTGGCTTTGCTACTTATTGGATCTATCTACAAAGACGACATCTTGACGTGTGTCTAATTTGTTTGTTGTTGCTTTTGGGTACTCTATTTTGTTGAATAGCTCTTGATCTGTATATGTAACTTGTCTTTTTGAAGGTGTTGGTCTATCAAGGAATGAAGTAGCTGTCGTTTGGTATAACGTTGGTAAGAATCGGGTCAGAACTGGTAGAGTTATGGCGGTTACAAGTTTGAGCCAATCGAAGTGCTTTAGTGATTCGACCAATCACAAGTATTGTAAGTTTCGCGAGACGTTCTGGGGAAATTCAAGAAAAGATGCTCTGGGTATGAAATTTGATTGACAGATTGTATTTTCGCTCTTTACAAGTATTCTTTGATTACTTTAATTGTTTTTATTATCCCTTCATTTGATTCTTTCTTTATTTTTGCTTGTTTTATTTATTTTCTTTACTTCTTTTACTTTATTTTATCTTATTCGTTTATTTATTTATGTATTCTATCTTTGGTGTTCTTCGTGATTACTATTTCAAATTGTTTATCTTTGGTGTCACGATTGCTCTGTTGTTAATGGCTGTATAGTCTATTGTTCTGTTGTCAAACCTGTGTTCCCTCAAGAAAAGTTTATTTGGAAAGGCGATTAACTCAAGAAAGGCCGTACTTTGATAT